AGGGTGGCCATTTGCATTCAGCGCGGCACGTGCAACCTGTGAAACAGTGTCATTAGGAGAATTTAGAGCCAAATTAGAATTATATTAGTCTGCCAATCTAACCTGTCAGGCTCCTCATAAAGGGAAGGGCCAGGTCGCCACTGGTTTGTTGTTATACAGAGAGCAAGGCCTTGATGAGCCTTAAAACCAGTTTATTCCAGAAATGTTTCTCAAACTAAATGGTGGTAGATGGATTCCTTGAGAATCATGACCAAAAATCCTTAAAAGAGGTTTTGATGGGTGGGTGAAGGTGATGAGAAGATCTGAAAAGCATGCACGATTCTCTGTCACTGAGCGACAGCACTGATCTAATTTTAGCAATACTACTTAATGATGAGAGAAGCTTTGAAAAACAAAACAGTTCCTGCAGGACCATGATAACGTTGATCATAATAATGGTGAGAAATGTGTGGGCGTGCTATAATTACCAGGAGACTGTTGTAATCCCTGGTGTATGCAAACATTACTGCACAACATCTTTTAAAAGCGGGGTATCTTTTTGGATTGCTGAATGTGTTTTATTCTACTTCTAATTCAGACAGTTTTGTCAGTTTGGTAAATAAGAGCAGAAACTTTAAATCTGCTTTGGAAAGGTGTGGACTGGAGTCACATGGCTTTGACTGCAGTCAGACTGAAGCCACACATTTGATGACGTTTGACTTAATCACAAAAGGCTTGCAACTCAAGTTGGACTTAAAGACCAATAACTCAAGACTTCAGTTTCACTTGTGCCTTTTCAATTGAAAATACTTGGTAGCTTCCCCCAAAGTCCAAAGATAAGTTGGCCATAAATCCATTTTTCATACCCAGCAAATACTGACTTAAGTAGTTTGAATTTGTCTGACAATCGATCCAATCAATTTACACAACCGTACCATCTGTTACTGAGCACCAGTTGAAAAAAATATATTTACCAAAGATAATGTCATTCGCCAACATAAACCACTCTGTGGTCAACAAAAAACTAAACGAACTAAGGCACATTATGGCTTGTTTTGGACTAAAAATGTTGGACATACCTTGGGTCTGAATTCAGGGCTTTACAACCTTGTCTTGGGACTACATTGCAGAAAGCTCCAATAAACTCCTCCAATGATCCCACCTTTAGACAAATGGTCACTAATCCAAGAGTCAACCAAGTGGTAGAAATGTAAATGAGTATCATGATTTAAGAGAAAGTAAAGAATGAGTTTTGATGATTTTGGAAGAGTTTGAGAAGTTGTTGCTGGTGGAGAATATTGACCTCAGGGTTAAGGGCCTCCAGTCTTTAGCGGCAAAGTCAAAGGAGGAGGGGACTGTTTGCAAAGCATCTCTGTTTAGATACACATCTTCTTTATGCGTCCAAGCAAGTCTTCTTACTTAAGGGATCCTATTTTCATTCTTGGAACTTTTTTGTTATCACAATAGAAGCATGCAGAATCCCTAAGGTATTTATAGGAACTGTATCCTGATTATGCATTGACCACAGAAAAAGAGACTTTAATAACTGCATCACTGTGCCATACGGTCCAACACTACTTTCTGCCTATAGGTATCATTTACCGGTATAGTGTTTCCCCTGTGACTGCTTTCTACTATCAAGGGAATCCCTGCCACCGTTTCATTGAGTAAGACTATGCTTTCATGCACTGAATGCTCCTATCTAGGTTAAGTGGTCTATGATGCCTCGGTAGAAGGCAGAATGCCTGCCAGTGACTGTTTCTGCTGTTTAACTAGTCACTCCACATCTGATTGGCTGACTTTAAATTAATCATTCATTACTAGTGTGTCAGTGTTTGGTGTAGCGTACTTGCAAACTAGGTCATTTGGCACGAACAAATGTGCTCTCAGGCTTCGAGAACGGACATCTTGCATAAGCCTCCGAACATTTCAACACCCAGTTACGAAAGTCCCATTTTCAGCCATACATCCATGTGTCACATAATCATGTTCAACTTGTTACCTTAAAGCACTTACTGTTGTAGTTGCCATGAACTCACTTGTTTGTATGCTTTTTAACACATTATTGTGTTACAGCATACATTATAAACAAAAAACTCATGATTGAACAGAAATGAATGTAGTGATGTCTTACTTGACACATTGAATTATATAGTGTTTATTGACTTTGTCTGCTTGGGTAGGAATTTCTCATTTATCTGTTTCCATGGACAGCTGCTGGATTTTCGCGATATCACAAGATCACACGTAAATCCCTCTTGTAAGAAGGTTCAGAGCGATATTTTCGCTCTTCAACATACTGGCCTTGGCAAGAGTTTGATTGACAGATGGTTGATCTAATAACCTGCCAAGTATTTTTTGAAAGTGCCTGCCCTTATTCAAACAGTTTCCAATGACGGCTTCTCAGATGGTTCTGTGTAACAAACCGTCTGGAGCGTCAGGTTAATATAGTTCTATCTTATGATATTGCCCTCTAGTGGCCAAACATTTATTCAATGCAGCTTTTACTTTTGGTCTTTTAAGGGGGTATTCCACCAGTTTCTTATAAATTGTATTATTATTTTATCAAACTTTTATTTAACCAGGTTTTCCCATTGAGATAATCGATCTCTTTTTCAATGGAGACATGTCCAACATGGCAGCAAGTATGTTACAATGTGAACATAAAACAACAGATAACACAAAAGGACAATGATACAAATGATACCCATGATGTCATCAAGTAACCTCATTGAGAAACACCGCTGGCAGCGTTCCGCCCAAGGCCCTATCCTCTCCTATCAGAATTGTACACTTGCGATGTGTTTGGAAGTTATACGGTCTGTGTTTACATTAGCAAGCATCACTAACACCCTGAGCTAACGCTGTACTGGAGAGAGTATGTGTAAAAAACGGATTTATAAAAAGATACTCACCTTGTGGTAAACCCACGAGAGAGAAAGCGTTTGAGCTCCATACTGTTTCAGAAATAATCCTTGCTGTGGTTTGGAACATAATATGGCGTTTAATCACGGTAGCGTTTAACTGAGTTTCTGCATGCGGAAAGGGGCGTGGCCAGCAGCAGCTCAGGTTACATTTGAAGCTATGGACCCAGAATCAGCACATTTGTATCAGGGCTGAAATAGAGGGGTATGAGGCATGCTTCAATGCTTGATCTGTTTGGTATTTTGAGAAAAACCCTTCATAGACATGTTTTTGATATATCTGAAACATATAATATAGGCCTAAAAATAGTATAATAGGAGACCTTTAAATCAAATATTTTTCTGATGGCCAGCGACTACACTGGTTGCAAAAATAAGTCAGATTGTATAAAAGTTTATGAAAAAATCAGTTATATTTTACTGACCAGTTCATGGCCTCAATCACTAGTCTAACGTTGTTTTCAATACAGCATGAACATCAGTTATTAAGTTGGTCCTTTAGAGAAAAACATAAAGCAGGATATGCTTTAGGATTTGGCTACCTTGTGAATGACAGAAAGCTGAACGGTCTGGGTGTTTCGTCATTGAACTTGAAACCTCAGTGTGTGTCCAGTTCTACAAAAGATTGGCCTAAAATGCATTTTTAAGTATTTGATTGTATTCACCTTCACCCTTACTCAAAATATGGATACTTCTGGTTTAAATAAACTAAGATTGTGAAGGCCAAAAACCAACCAACCTATCAAAATGCCAAACTCAGGGCATCATAACAGATGCGGACAAACCAATTGGTTACACCTCAGTTACTACATCTTACCTCTCAGTGAAGCGATCACAGGCTCATCTAGAGAATATGTAGCCACCTGCCATTATTGTAAATCCTCCTCCTCCCCCATCCACGACACAGGCTGGCATGCAAATTAAATTACAGACGATATAGAGCTCCATAGGGTACTGAGAGTGCACTCAATTCCACAAAATTCCAGTGCCTGTGTGTGTGTGTGTGTGTGTGTGTGTGTGTGTGTGTGTGTGTGTGTGTGTGTGTGTGTGTGTGTGTGTGTGTGTGTGTGTGTGTGTGTGTGTGTGTGTGTGTGTGTGTGTGTGTGTGTGTGTGTGTGTGTGTTTATGTTTAAAGAGAGAGAATTAGTCCTGAGAGAAATGCTAGAAACCTTGGAATTGACAACCCCTCCCCCCTACCCTCTGCTGAAAAGGACTTTCCTCTTGCCAAGTGGCAGCGTGTATCAAGGCCTTCATTTCAGGATCGTAGCAAATGAGCTATGTTTCTCTGTTCTGTTGCCATGGGTAACACATATTTTTCTTCTCATGTCTAATCTTGGCGTCTCTTTGAGATATCTTCCATTTGCCTGCTGCTGCAGCGTTGGTACTGCCTTGTCAGATACGAGGCTTTGCGGTGCTACTGTTCGATGTATGGATGGATTATTTGATCAAATATGAACTGTAAACAGCTGAAATAGGCTGTTTAATCTACGTCTACGACTGCTTTGGCATCTTAAACAAGCATTCTCATAAAGCTTCACATCTACATATAATGTTCTCCTAAAATAAATTACAGAAGTTTGAAGCACTATGGAGTTGTGTGGCTGCACTGGAATAGTTACATCTTACTGGTAAAATCATCTCCGATGATTATGGGGGCTTGGGGAGTAACAGAGAACATGGAACAATGTTTCATGTATACTTAAAAAAAGATAACTTTTTTCTGTAAAGGTTACAGAAAAAAAGAAACCAACTCTGACGCAAGAGACATCAAGCTTGGCCAATGGAGACGTCATCACTAATAGAAAGTTATGTTAATGTTGACCTTGTGTTTTAAGAGATTTTTAAAAGGACACCCCAGAGTGCATGTAAGAGTTTAACAAAAATAAATCTCCTCTGGATGAGGAAATGCAGACCAACAGCTTTATGTTAAATATTTACAAGCATTCAACTGAAATTTAAGTCAACTACACAGATATTACTTTACATATTAAAATAATAATTTAAATTATTAAATGACTCAAACATCACATTTGAAATGTTATTAGAATAATATGAAATGGTGGTGCTTTAAAGTGACTGTGATTATTTTCTCCGCAGGTGAATACACTGTGATGACGGCTCATTTCCATCTGAAGAGGAAGATTGGTTACTTTGTTATCCAGACGTACCTCCCGTGCATCATGACAGTCATCCTTTCCCAAGTGTCTTTCTGGTTGAATAGAGAATCAGTGCCAGCCAGGACTGTGTTTGGTAAGTGTTTGCCTTTGTCAACGGCCATACCATCTTTCATTCAAAGATATATTTTAACGCAAGAAATCTACCCTCGTGGGGGCGCGCTCATGTGATTGGCTTAGAATTGAGGAGACATCTGATTGGCTATAGATAGAAAAAATTACAAGTACGAATCGGCTGACCGTCAGGGGAGTCTCAAAAAACCCACACACGAATGCACAGCGATCCGTGCACAGGAAGCGGTTTTGTGTTTGCAGGTTCAGAGGATTTTAAACGGGAAAACAAATATGTGAGGATCAAAAATACACATGTAAAACTTTTTTCTGTATTTGGATTTTATTTACATGTATATGAAACGGACGACACATTTGTGTGTCCTTTTGCGGATCATGAAATACAAGTGTGAATCCTTCTGTGTGCATGTGTGTATTATGAAACTGTTCTGAGCTCATATATTTGTGTCCCTTTGTAGTCGTTACACATCTCTTTGTGGTTTTTGTATCTCTTTGTAGCTGTTTATTGTCTGTTAATATTTGTATTGATTATCTCTGTCTGGTCATTTGCGTTTCTTTGTAGTTGTTGTGTGTCTCTTTGTAGTTGTTTTGTATCTCTTGGTAGTAATTGTGAGTCACTTTGTAACCATTTTGTGTGTCTTTGTAGTCATTTTCTGTCTTTTTGTGTTTTATTATTGGGAATTTCTTTGGTGTCTCTGGCTGTTTTGCATCTCTTTGGGATTCATTTAGTCTCTTTGTGCCTCTTTTTTAATAAACTCCCAGCCGGTAGTTGTTTTTAAGTCACATATTTGATGGGACAGCCAGGGGAGCCCCCTGACATTTTGGGCTGGTTCAGTTATCCATATATGAATGGAATTGGTTTATGAATGTGGGATTTCACACACATGATAGCATGAGGATTTTGCTCTAGTTAGTCAAAATCCCTGTTGTCAGTATGGGGGAATTGAATACAGCAATAACAATTGATGACATAGTGGGGAATAGGAGAAAACTAAATAAAAAGGAAAGAGTCTTCAGGGGCCTTTCAATCTCACAGGACAACATGTTTTTAGACTTGTTTGTTAGCCAAGTGGAACTAATGACAGTTATCTAAGACTGGTTTGCTTGTAGAAAGAAAAAGAGGTAGAGAAGTCTTGTCCTTTGGCCAATGATAGCAAACCTGCTGAGCAGTTAAAGCATTACTGACGGTCAGTGGCTCTAAGGGTAGAGTAGGCTAATAGTGACCTTATACTGTTAAGAACAACGGACAGTAAAGACTAATGCATATTCTTAAAAAGGTCAAACAGTGGTTACAGTGTTATGTATGTATATTATATAACACAATCATTTCTTAATGACTGATTTTCTTTTTTCCATTTCTAGGTGTAACCACTGTTCTCACAATGACAACACTGAGTATCAGTGCAAGGAACTCACTTCCCAAGGTTGCCTACGCCACTGCCATGGACTGGTTCATCGCAGTCTGCTACGCCTTTGTCTTCTCCGCTTTGATCGAGTTTGCCACTGTGAATTACTTCACAAAGCGCGGCTGGGCTTGGGATGGAAAGAGTATTGTGACTGAAAAGGTAACAAGTTGAAAAACTATTGGTTTGACAGGATACATTTTCAAAGCGAATCTATTGGCATTGTGACCACTGTACGTTGAAGAAAGTAATGCTTTTAGATTGGACAATGGAGTGCTGAAACATTGACAGTTCAAACATATGGTTATCGTTTGGAAAGAAAACAAAACTACTCACTGTAGTTGAGAAAATGGTTGTGGTTCGGGTATATTTAAGTTTATTACATAACTACAGATATGTACATCAGTTAGGTATACAGGTCAAAGTATCTTAAGTAAGTTACGCATGTTAACAATTTTCTTTCCACGTTGAGGAATGATAACAGCCTACTGAGCCAACTAGGTGGTAAAGCAGGGCTACACCACCTCAAATCTAGGATTCCTATTACCACTGACAATGGACATTAAATGGGCTGATTACATTCAAAGTTAAAAGGTTCTTACAAATATCACTTCCTGTGTGACCTCACCCTGCATCCAGTCCATGTCAGTATTAGTCCACCTGTGCTGCCAAGTTTCAAACAACCTCGGAAGTAATGGAAGGCAAAAAAACGTTGAAAGTTACAATGCATCCTTGTAAAATTGTTGACATATTTGGCCTTGGTGTTGATCTATTACCAGAAGACATCCAATGCCATTTCGCTGCTTCATTTACATGTCATTTAAATTCATGGATAGACTGTGACAAGTGACAGGTTTCAGGGTTGCATCTGTCTTTAAAAACGTTCACATCTAATCCTTGTGGTCTTTCAACAGAAAAAAGAGAGGGCTTCTATCGCCAAGAAGAATAATGCCTACGCTGTAGCAGTGGCCAACTACGCGCCAAACATCGCCAAGGACTCCAGCACACTTCCAACTATCGCTAAAGGTGGAGCTATGGATCCTAACAAGCCCAGAGCAGACGGCAAAGCACCAGATAGCAAGAAGACATTCAACAGCGTTAGCAAAATAGACAGGATGTCAAGGGTTCTGTTTCCGGTTCTCTTTAGTAGCTTCAACGTTGTGTACTGGGCGACCTACTTAAGCAGAGAACCCGATATAAAGGACATGGTCCCCTCCACTTAGAGGCCAGTTGTAGTGCGTTCTGGTCTGGGGTCCAAGAGACGAACCAAATACCTCCAGCAACTGTGTACATATACCTTTGCAGAGTGAAGTCCTGGATTGCAGTGTGATCCTCTATCTCCGCCTGTTTTCTACACTGTCTGCAGCACTTTTGAAAAGCCCGGCTTTTGTAAATGTGTATGTATATTTATATTCATGGTTTCATGGTGACATATCGTGTGATTACTTCTATTAGAGTGCATATTACCTTGAAAGTATGTTTCCAGTTACAGTATGTGGCCACTGTACATACAACTCAAATGAAGAGTAAACAAATAAACGTGAACACATACATTTTATTTACTTCTAATGTGTTGAAGTTTGCTGGTAACGCCCACTCTCTCAATATTATAGATTTTGTTTCTCTTTTGAGTGAAAGGATTTGTATCACATTTAATTACTTTCTTTGCCATCTAAGAGTGGCCTGACTCTTTTTTTTCAAAGCCAATGCAAAAACACATTTTGTATAATATTGTTACAGTGTAAAAGTTGTTTTATTATCTGTGACTGCAATCACACTCTGACCTCCAGAGTTATTGAAACACCTCAAGCCAAAAATGTTGTTAAATATAGAAAATGCATAACATTAGTGTGCTTGTGTGGTATTGTGAAAAAGTAATGAGAACACATTGGGTAGGAAAGAAACAATCAAACAAGAAACAGAACTACAAAACACACATAGTGTTGAGGTGTTGAGAAAAGACTCAAGCATTAGGTCAGTAATGCCTCAAATAAAGTCCATTTTTATTCAGAGCAAATGAAGGAAGCTGATATTCAGTCAACATAAATTCAGAATGAAACAATGTTTGTTTTATATGTTTACACACTAATTGTATGAGGTTAAGTTTTGTTAGCCCTGGCAGAGTTTAAGAATAATGAAAAGGATTTATTTTCAACCTGAATTAAACTATATAGCCTAACTTAAAAACACTGATAATGATAGGGGTCTATGAACTGTATCAGGGATTTGATATGCAACAGCAACATACACATAACCTTCAGAATCTAAATGTATTTATCAATGTTTGACCGCTAGAAGAAAAAGAAAAGAACACAATAAAGAGCTGACAGAAACACATCCCCCTATTATCAAACAAAGTGCCAAAAATGTCTAACAGACACACAGCAACATTATCATCACATTGGACTTTTACATCTTACAAATGTAAGTCCAGTGTTCACTCTTCGTTTAGCTCTATTTTGGTCTCCTACAACTCTGATGCAAATAACTGGGACTTTAGCATTTCATTTGTCTGACTTTCTTCACCAGCCAGCCGTAGCTAACCTTGTCAGATTGACAATTGGTACTGTTGATAGTTGATTTACAGAATACAGTAAATGTAGAGATTTCAAACCAAGAAAAAAAAGCTACAAAAGGCTAAAAAGCAACTTGAGCGCTGCTGAGCGTGACCAAAATGTTCTGTAGGTACGTCCTCTCAACTTATCGCAGACATGATTAGTTCGTTATAAAAGGATTAACGACACAACAATAATAAAACTACAGATAATAATGAATTGCTAAATGTGCAAAGAGTTGAGAGATTGCAAATAAGAAACATGAACAAAAGAGGTGTTGCTGCACAAGCACACTAATACAGACTATTATTTACTTTTTAAATGATTTATTTACCATGGTTACAAATCCAAATTATAATTTTGTTGTATTATTTGAATGCATACAAACTCCTCAGTGTGAAATGTGAAAAAGTCCCATCACTTATTTAAAATGATAATATGGCAGCTTTTTTTTGACAGACCTGTGTTGGAAGTAACTCTGGAGGACAGTGTGGATGACTTGGTGTAGACTAGAGCACCGTGGCACTACTTATCAGCATGTCTGCCATCTTTCATATCCATTGTCTGTCCCTTCACAACACATTTCATGATCACACAAGCTAGTCAAACAAATTGCAGGGATAAAACAGCAAACACGGGACTGTTTTGTGCCAAGATCAACCGCCATCAATCGTTTGTAGACGATAGTCACATTCTTCTACCAGTATTTATTATTTGTAATTTGCCTAAAGTGAGAAAATACAGCCAGGATTTGGGACTAAATTATTTATTTTCTCATAAAATGGTCATAGATTTGTAGCTTCATCTTGTATTTGTATGCAGATTGATTGTCACTAAAACTTTGAATTAACTCAGAAGCCATACAGTCATCATGTAATCCAATTCCATCAGCAACAATACAACAGGGACAACCAATGATTGTACTTTATGAGCATATGACACTGTGGTAAAAAAGATGTATAAACCTATTTTGAAGATATCACAGATGCTGTATATCAAGAAGACAAATCGTGTATCAAGCCCCTATCAGCAGCCATAAGCAGTATGGTACTCTACTGTAAGTTTTTCCTCATAAAGTGATATTTTGCTTCACACCTATATTTATTTTGTTTTTGTTTGTTGACTCAAACTTTGCATGAAGAAAAAAAACCTAGCTTTTTTATTTTTAAGAAATTATGTTGTCAGTTAGAAATTATTTTTAATTCAAATTCCACATCCTGAGAGAATCTTAAACATTCCAGATACAATTATTGTTCAAGATGTGGATGCTTGATTCGGTGCACAGTTTCTAATAAAACACATATCATTTCAATTCTTTATATCTAGTGCGTGCCATGTTTTTTTAATTAGAGCCTGACTGATGCCAGTTTTTTTAAGATGTAATACAAATGGTGGCAGACAGGCGCAAACACACTGCAACGGCCCAAAACCTTTACATCACATGAAACATGTTGCAAATATGAAAACACAAATGTGCCATGTTGCAAAACACAACAGAAACAGGGAGACTAAAAAAGTGATGCACATAGCAGCATGGGACCGGAGGGCTTGTTGACATTAGTTTTAAGGCCAACAACCACTGGAAATATACCTTAAATGTAATTTATTGGCTTTTTTTTAACAATGTGATGATTCCTTCCAATATTATTGCAGATTTGCTGTAAGCTAGCTAGCTAACGTAGCTAACCTAGTAATTATAAATATACCGACAACACTCTTACAATTCTGAATCAGACTAACTATTCTAGAGAGAGATTTGTACAACTTTATAATCCCAGAATGTCAACAAGTACTACAGTCCCAGCAGTGTCCCCGTCTCCGTTGTTTTTGTAGCTTCTTGCAGCTTCTAGCAGCATTTTGTATTTGCAGCGCTTTTGGTAAACTTGTAAATTATTTCTAAATGCTGAGCAAGTTGGTGAAGCTATTTCTTAATTTGCACGTGTTTTGGCACATTTGTGATTTTATATATTATTGTTTGCATTAATGTAAATGTTTTGGGCCGTTTGTTGCCACTGTTGGCCACCCTCATTAGCTGATACATATGGCGATACGTTTTTTAAAAAGTGGGGTTGTATGAGGGCCCTTTGCATAGACATGAATAACCTACAGTGGATGGCAGTCACCATGCCCTATAGTTTGGAGAGACAGACAGAAGTACCAGCAGGAACCTATACTGCAGTGGAGAGGGGCAACAAAAAACATATTTTCGTTCGGGGAACTAAAGTCGTTATCTATGCTCTCTTCTAACCACCGGACACCATTGACACAAAGAGTTGATGATGTAATGTTTCATTGATTGGCTAGTGTGTTTGTGTTATTGTGTGACTATGGTGTTATTAAAGGGTTATTTTAGATTCAACAAAATGACATAAAAAAAGTAACACATTAAGGCAGTAGTGGTAGATGAGCAACTCAGCCTTCTTCGAAAATGACTGCCTTTGTCAACGGAGTCTTGTGGCGTGAAAGAAAGTATTAACGGATTCAGTTCCCCGTCCAAAAGGCTGTCTGATGGCATGGTAAGGCAGTGAAAATATACTGTACACTTAAGCTGACATTGAAGTTTTGCTGTATGTTCCTCCAAACAATGGAGGAACATCCTTCAAACCATCCCAACTGTCCAATCTTATCTCTGAATAACCCCAAATTCCCAGAAGCCCATCAGATCATGGGAGCGTGAGCGAGACAACTCAGCGCCTCTTTAGCAGAGAGGATACTGTCACGAATGCTTGGACGCTGCCAGTGACTGTCATTACGAGCGTGTTGGTAAAACCAACAGAGAAAGCCCTGTGGCACTGAGCTGTAATGCAACGCTCGCTGAAGTTTTATTTTCTGGCCGGATCTTTCCACCACTCAAGCGCGGTGTGAGGTCTCCTCTTCTTCAAGCTCCATCGCCTCAGACCACAGCCGACCCTGGTCATCCACTCAGAGGCTGCCTGACAGAAATCAATCCTGATGGATGGGAGGTGTCTAACTGCACGGCAGAGCAGGGATTATTACATACATGTCCTAGCATTACATTTTACATTGATTCAAAGTGTCGGATCGGAATACTAATAGCATGCATTTTTGTAGGGTTCAACTCTTGAGTTCAACTCTTAACAGAAAGTCCAAGTGAAGAGAATAAGTATTGTTTTCAAGCTACTGCTTTAAATTGGACATTGACTAAAGACCTGAAATCTAAATTTGATTTATTTGTAGTAACAAGAGAACAGGCCGTTGTACTCCTGGAGAATTAACATAGGAAAAACTAAGCCTTAGAAAGGTTATGTGGAATCAATACACATGATTACATTGTTTTGTTTTCAGGAAACTTGATCTAGAATGCTGCTGTCTGGCAAACATTGCTTCACTGCGCAAAGCATGAAGGAGGCAAAAGTCATCCCAAAAATTGGGAGATCGGTTAGGATGGATCAAATAAACACAAGTCTTTCAGATTACTTTTCGTGCCCCTTGTTAATCCAAAAGTCAGCGTCGCCGTTGACAACTTCTTAGTTGTAAAAGATCATTGGTAAAAGTAGGTAGGTTTGTATACGCAAGGTAGTTAACGTGATATATGTAACATATTTTACAAGTAGGCGACATAACTGAAGTTACGTAACAAACACACAGTAGCTATTTTAACCCAAACCATGATCTTTTTCCAAACCAAGCCAGCTAGTTTTGATTCTCCCGTAGTCTTTGAAAAAATATGTCATTCATCGTAATTGTGAATGCAGTTTTGTTGTAGGCCTACGCGTAAATCAAATTTAGAAGGATGGGTTCTTCTAAATGTGTCCTCCGTGAGCTTTTTTATAAAGGAAATCAAAAAGTCTGAAAGCATATGGAGTCCACCTACAACACTTCCTGCTGTTTTCAAGACTTTTCAAGATTCCCCAGACAAACAAACGGGGGGTGGGTGCTAGTGAATTAATTTAAGTTTTCCGCACTCTCGCGGGAAGATAGAGATTATTATCTAATATTGGGGCTGCATAACGTTTTTTTATTTTTGTTTTTGAAAGAAATTTGGGGGAAGCTGGGTTATTCGGAACATGAGAGTACACAGGTACAGACAGACAGAAGGAAGAAGTAAGTTGTCCCCCGACAGTCTAAGCCTATAGCAGCTAAACTAACGTGTACATGCACTCCCTTAGGATAGGTTGAGGGAATGGGGTAGCAAGTAAAAAGTAAGGAACAGAGGTGGAGAGGCACAACGTGTCTACCAGTGGCGGCCGGCCCATAGGGGCGCTAGTGGCGCCGACCCCCCTCTTCCCACATTAAAAATATATATTTTAAAAATATTTGTTTTTATTTATTTTTTATTTTTAATAAACAAGGTAAATATTATATAATTGGTATCAGTAAAATGTATAATCTACAATAAAATCTTGTTTAAAATTGTGTTACGATGTCTAAAGTTACTGATAAGTCACATGTTTCCTGCCTGGCCTTGCCCGTGTATCATTACCCTCTCTCGTCTGGGCGCTATGCACAGCGCCCAGACGAGAGTGCAGCAAGTGCAGCAGAAGCCAACTGTTGCTATCTTTAAACATAATTTCAGCCAATCAGCGTCGTCAAATCTGATGGTCACAGGGCGCCTACGTCAGCGCCCGGTGCAGTCCGTGAGTTGTTTGGACTCGTATCCAAGTCCCTCCCCTTCCGGTGGACCTCCATGGGACCTTATTTAGGAAAAATGATGTATTGAAGTCAATGGAGAGAGAAATATTATCTTTCGATCCCGTTTGAATTGTGCCACGAATTACACATTATGATCTTTGTCATTTTGCCAGTTAAAAAAAAAAAATGTGTCGTAAAACTGTGAAGTAACACATTTTTTTGTGTGAAACGGTCAATGAACTACATCTCTGGTCTTGCACAACAACACACGTCACCAAGATGGCCGTCACTACTGTTTTACAAGGGATTGACTACCCTCACTATCACCACAATGAAACACGTCCAGAAGAATGTCATGCAAAACTGCCTGCCTGCCTGCCTTCCTTTGATTCTCTCTGAACTGCCTGATCTTTTTAATGTTTAATGTCAACCATTTGTGCAGATAGCATGAAGTACAAAAGATCGCCGATGCTAATGTAGCGTTAGCGTTAGCATTTCTCCCCCGGGCTTAAATGGTGTATTATAGAATGATCACACCCAGGGGCGGACTGGCCATTGGGAATACCGGGAGTTTTCCCGGTGGGCCGGTGCTGTGCGTGGGCCGGAGGGCCAACAAAAAAATAAAAATAATAATAATAATAATATATTTTTTGGCCTAAATCCTACCGGTTACTAGGTTGGCAGGGAAACGGGGTTCAGGGGGAGTGGCTGTACCCGTAGGATAGAAAAGGGGGAAGTGAGGTCTGACTCAGAGGTCGCGCGCTAGTGGAGAAGAACGTGTTCTGTTACTGAGTTTAGGCTAGTTAGCTATCAGGTTTATTGTTTTGGGTGCAGTCACTTTTTGCCTCCACTTGCTGTTCAAATAAATGTTGAAAGAAAAAGTAAATCTGTTTACAGTTCTGTTTCATATGGGTGTTGAGAGATGTATCCATAGATTTAGTCCCTAATGTTGCTCTCAAAGTGCACCAGATTGATGCATTTAACGTCAACATTTAAAAGGAAATCTTCCCGGGGGAGCATGCCCCCGGACCCCCCTAGAGGAGGTGAAGTCCACCACCTGCCCACACCCCCTGTTAAATTGTCTCCCATTGAGGATACTTCCTACGCCCATGTTTTATTCCATGCGTCAAGTCAGGCAAATTGGGTCCAAATGTTATTGCATCAATGATCTGTTAACATTAAAATAAATAAATATATGCTGTAACTATTTTGCTCTAGGGCTCAGGTAATGTGATTACCAGAGGTGGGACCAAGTCATTGTTTTGCAAGTCCGAGTCAAGTCTCAAGTCTTTGCGCTCAAGTCCGAGTCAAGTCTCAAGTCATTGTTTTGCAAGTCCAAGTCAAGTCTCAAGTCAGGATGGGCAAGTTCAAGTCAAGTCAAGTCCTAAACTTTGACAAAACAAGTCTTTAACAAGTCATTATGTGTTTTTCACCAAATGTAATGACATCGATCAACAGAATAATACTTAATAATCAAACTGCTCTTTATTAGTCACATTAATAATTTAATAATCCATTTTCTCTCTGCTGGTAAAGTAACGTGTGTTTTTCTAATTTAAGAGGGATCAGTAAGGTAAGGCTACCATGACGGTTTGATTCAGAAGGAGTTTAATGTATAAGATCCCTGATGTTGAGGTGACCAGAATGTTTATTTCCACTGTGTACAACATGTTATAAGGGACCCACAATCTATCTTTATGCAAGGGATAATGTGCAGCGAGGCG